TGTGTAACGAGATTCATCACCATGTATAATGCTGTTCTATCGTTTTTATTCCCAGTTTCAATCCACAATAAAAAATTGGTCCTTACATTCACGAGACCGATGATTGGATTACGTTCTGTGAAATCCAGTTGCACGGAGCTTCCATAGGCAGTGAAGAAATGACCTGCAATCATGAATTCACAAGTCCTGGGTGATGGACTTAAATATAGATGTGAAGTTTCATTTTTAAACATGTTTCGACGTCTGAATGAACAGAGGGATGTTTAATTTTGAGCATCTGGGCCTTTTATTTACATTAGCTTGTCCCCTTGTCTTTCCTTTCTTCAGCATATTGCCCATAATTAAAGGGGGTGGGAGTGAGTAGACAGTCTGAAATGTCTGGGACATCCATACTACTATTTCTCTTTAAATGGCTGTAAACGTCTTTCTTCGTAGCATCTTAACTGCAGCTGTCTGTCTGTGTCAGCTGCTGATGTTTATAAAACCTACATAGCAATGCACCTTCGATTCAAATATGAGTTTAATTGGTCCTATCTCTAGCTGGGAATATGTTGTCCTAATACTTTTATTGATGTAGTGTATGCCAAATTATTGGAGTAGCAACATTTGACCTGATAAAGTATACACCCGTGTCAGAGATAGATCACTGTTTTCATATGAAACCTTACCCCTTCTAGTATATTCTGGAATCGCTAAATGTATGTCAGAAACGGTAAGATTATTTCTTTCTATGCTTGACTGTAATATTAGCAGTCCAGTATTTTAGTACCATTACATAAGAACATATATACATGCTCACAGCCAGCTATTTTAATACTTCAATCTAGTTCATTTGAAATTATCGTTTTAATTTATATATATGAAAAAGAAAACGTGTCTAGGAGTTGAGAATTTTGAATACATTAAATATTTCTGAATAAAAAAAAAATTCATTGTACATGTTTCTTGATTGAATATATTTTATATATTCAAATTCATTACCTATTCCATTTAAAATGGTTTAAGCCCCCCCCCAGTGGCACAGCGGTATGTCTGCGGACTTACAACGCTAGAAACCGGGTTTCGATACCCGTGGTGGGCATAGCACAGATAGCCCATTGTGTAGCTTTGTGCATAAATTCAAACAAACAATTAAAATGGTGTAAATTTCGTTGTATGTAAATGTCAAAAGGAAATAACTTGAGAGTTTAAATATCGCAACATTAAATGGGGAGTTAAAGACGAAGGTGTTAATACTTTTCCCTTGTTCAATTTTCGAACTTTAGTGTTTTCTTGTAGAAAAACCACATCGGGCTATCAGCTGTGTCCACCGAGGGTAATCGCACCCCTGATTTTAGCGTTGTAAATCCGAAGACTTACCGCTGTCCCACCGAGAGACTTTTTCGAACTTGATAAATTCTATAAGATGTGAACTTCATAAACGATGCACAATTATACCATTCTCTTTCCAATCAGTGAGAACATAATAATAATGGTTCACAGTATTCCTTATGAATTCAACCATGTTGGTCGTATGAACTGCATAAAAGCTTCGCCAAAGCTCAAACCCTCGGTTTACAAAAAATAACTAAGGATGTATAGAGAGAGTAAATAAAATTAAAAGATACAATTAGTTAATCATTTTTTTCTCAAAAGACGAATAATAAATGGAGAGAAACAGAATTTTGGAAAGGAAGATCTACGTTTTGGACCAGAATATAAGCTTAATGATATAAAGGCCTAGTTGTGATGGTACATTTTACTAATAATATATCGATATAAATATTATATATCTGTCTGTCCATGAAACTACTTCATAGGGTGTGGATGCATCTTCACTAAAACTGGTATGGAGGTTCATTAGGTCCATGCGGGAGTACATACAAGTTTTCAGTTTTGTGGCTTTTATGGACGTTTTGCGTTTTTTTAACACTACTTCTCCCCCTGTAGATGGATCTTCACCAAATTTGGTACGAAGGTTTGCTTTTGGGATTGGCTCTCATAATTATTGTCGGGCATGATTGTCTTAGCAGCTGCTTCTATGTTCTCAAACTCATCTCTAAGACTGTCAACATATTGCTCAAGTGACTTTAGCACCATTTCCTAAGTTCAACGTATTTGACTATAAATAGACACTTGTTTTATTAGATTAGACTAAAATCCTGCTCCAAAGGATACCCAAATAAACATTCTCCAACTTTCTCATTTTTGCAGCAAACGATTTTGCTTGGTGGTGTGTGTCTGCTTTTTCATCTGAATTATTTTCCATTTTCTCTAGACACTCAAGAATGTTGCTACAGTTCAATTGTAAATCTTGGTCAGCATTAGCATAATTGGACCACCAAATGTCTCCCAGTTCCTTCAGGGCAAGTACTCTTCCTTCGTCATTGGGTTTCAGGTGGTCGAGAAACAATTCCCAATGGTGTATAGAAGCTGAAAAAAAATTATACATCATCTGAACTATAGCAAAAAAATTCAAAGCAAATAAGTGAACATTAACAACTCAGAGAATAAGCAGTGCCTGGTACATATTCTGCTGCAAGTTAACATTTTGCATATGTCTTTACACCCCTGTATTTCTCAGACATGTTACTTGCATTATCATATGCCTCACTGCAACAGTCTTTGATTGGTATCTTGTGATCTTCCAGGGTCTTAATAATCATATCACCCAATGATGTACCTGTGTGCAAATGTATAGGCACAAATTTCAAAAACCTCTCAAACAGTTAACCAATGATTTTATCAACATAACAAATTGTGATAGTCAACTGGTCAATATGACTTGTGTCAACTGTGGAATCCAAACATGTGGAAAAATATTTTGCTGATTTAATTTCCCTCACAACTTCATTCTGTACCTTGATGCCCAACAAATTAGTAAACTTTTCACAGATAGACAATTACAGGAAAGAAAAGTTACTTTTATCTTTATTACCATACTTTTTGAGGTGTGCAGCTACGATTGGGTCAAACTGAGCTATAAGCTGAAGCAAACCAAGGAAATTCTCATTGGTTGGAGAACCAAATCTTTCTACACTTCCACAGAATGTCATACCACATTCAGAAATGTGTTTAACTGTAGCAACATGTTTGAACATTTTGTACCAGCATTTTTCTTGACTGAGGAACTCTTTTTTTCTTCTTTCTAACTTAATGTTGATGCAGCCTGCTGCATGGCATCTTTGTAAATAGACCTTCACACTTTGTTGGTGTTCATAACCATTTTCATACTAATAATGGTTTGAGACAGCTTGAATGGGTAATGAAGAAAAACTTTAATACAAGTTTAACATAACAGCAAATATACAACGTTTCGACAAGGTTTTGTCATCATCAGGTATGAGATGTTGAATCCAGTATCCGACAAGGACAGACTTTGATACAGCAAACAGGCAACAGAGAAAACAGTAAATATTGCCTTCGGAAGGTGAATATATAATTTAGCCTCTTGTAACAGTCTTTCAATTTTTTTTATCATAAGCTCAAACATATCCTTAGTTAAAGAACAGTTGGCTCCAGCAGCATTGTACCTCTCTAAAGTATGGTAAATTCCATTAAGTTTTCTACACATTTTGGGATCTCATTGACACCATTATCCCTGCAACAAAATCTTGTTTTCTTTATATCATAATGCAGGATCAGTAAATTGATACATGAGAAGATCTTTATCTTCTTCATCTGCAGCTCTAGGCATAGAACATACAGCAGACACAGTCACACCTTCTTCTTCATTAATGGTGGAGCTGTATACTTCAATCTGCTTTGGGTCAGAACCAGTTTCTTTTGTTGCCTCAGAACGAAATTCACAACCAAGGACACCTGCTTCACTTTTATGTGTATGAGCATCTTCATGAGATGATTATGATGATGCAGCTGTTTCTAAAATGAGACCAAAATGTGTAGCTTGTTTTGAAGTTACCTCTTGTGTTTGCTTCTTTTCAACACTTTTTTTTGAGACACCCAGTCTTGTGCATTTTTGTAGATAGTAACATATTGTTAATGTTGACTGATGATTGTTAGCCTTAACCCTAAACGTGAAAAATAATTTAACTAATAAATGTTTATAACTTAATAATAAATTCACACAAAAGTAAAACTTTTATTTTCCTTTGGGAAAATTAAAAAACTCTCTAACTAGTAACCAAATTATGCCATTTAGTAAACCAATTCAAACACGTAACCTGCCTTTCCTTAACCTTCCACATAAATCAGTTTTAATAATATTATCTTAATCCTCTCTTTCATTAAACATCCCAGTTACACCTTCAATAAACTAATAAAACTCACACTCTCTAACACTTCACTAACTACAATTTTTTATTTTAAAAAACATTAACTCTTCACCCACGTATTCCTCTCTGCAATGCTTCACATAACAACAAATCAATATTCATATTTCACCCACTTTAATTTGTGTACTTATAGCTGGTTGTACAGCAGTTTTGAGAAGCAATAAGCATTGTGACAGGTTAAATGGCTTAATTTCTTCTTTCTTGCTTTTGATATTCAGTCATTACTTTAGGATGATCTAAAGGTTGAAAATATAGAAACTAAAAAAAAGAGATAATGCTGCAAATTTCAGCGAGGGTCGAAAATATTTGCTAATTCAAATCATAGGTAAATTAAAAAAGTATTATTGAAAATAAATGAAATGATGATGTAGCAAAATAGAAGGAACTGACAAAGTTGATGGTTGATTTAAATATTACTGGAAGAACTGCAACTACAAACAACTAATGCAACTACTGAGAAATTGTGTGCTTTATAAAATATGGTTAACTAAAAAAAAAAGAAACAAATTTATTAAAATTAAATTAATAAAATTACAAATTAAGAATAAAATTCAAAAATTTTGTATTATTTTCAAATTAAGTAATTCATGGACAATTTTCCCACTCCCACCCATGAACACATTGACCCTGTGCAACTTGCTGCTTTTATTCACTGGATAAAAATTATCCTGGGTGTTATCTAGCAATTTTATTTCGTATTCATTTGAAGCTAACTACACACTTCAGTTTTCATTAACACTAAAATTTTATTCAGCAGCTTGATAATAACACAAAGAAACTACAACTGTTTTACTCATAATTTACAAAATCCATATACATTATGACTAAACAGTGATGTGTAATTATAATATTATATTCTTTAACCTAAAGATATCACACAAACATCACACTTAATAGGATAATACAATACTGAACTATACAACAATATTCTCAACAGCCATCCTGCAATATTAGGCAGCACCAGTACTTGGTGTTTTCAACATAAATCTTTGGTTACACTGGCATTATTAATGGAATCAAATGTCTTAAAACTAAAACAACAATGGATTTTTCTATTTACAAATGTATATTTATCTGTATACCGAACGTTACATTTCTAAAAACATAAAATTACACCCACCTGTTAGCCCAATGTCAAACTCTTTTCTAAAATCATACAAGTATTCTAAATTAGTACAACTCGGTTTTGAGTACTAAAACCACATGTTGTAACTCATTGTTTTCGACATTTAAGAGTATAGAAAGAACCACTGTTAACTTTGACACAATACATTTAGCAATTTATGAATTTGTAATTTTAGATAAGAGAATGTTTTGTTTATGAATGATTATATCTTATGACATTAATTATCATTTATTCATACAGTTGGTACTCAAGACAACATTTCCAAAGGTAATTCATGATATTTCTGATACTTGTGTAACCTGTTAGGAAGTATATATATATACTAAACTGTGTGTACACATACATTTTTTTGGTAAACTGTATTGTTTTATCTTCTGAAAAAAAAATTGTCTTTAAGTGATTACTAATCAGGCCATATTATTATTAATATCAACTGTTTATTAAACTATTACTTATATATATATATTGTTTCTGTTGTAACTATAAATATGATCATATGCACCTTTCGAACATATAAATTTGACTGTATGTTCACTTCTATAGAATAAGAACTATTTTTAGACAATGGTTTACATTGCAATTATTAAAATTATTTAAAAAATTAATTTGATTTTTAACATTGATTGGCTTTTACTTAAACCATCTAAAGCAGATTACAGGCTGTTTTATTAGTATTATCACATATATGTGGCATTCATGATGTTTAGCAAGAAAGGTAAAAGGTCTGGTCATTACACAAATACATGACATCAATGTTTTGTCCTAGTCATAGCTTTAATGTCAATATACATTTCTAGCACCTGACTTATGCTTGGAAGAGATGTGGCATTAGAGTAGACATATACTTGTTGGACCTGAGTTCTTGGAAGAAATTTTGTATTTGTTGAAAATGTACAATTAAAGAACCTAAAGCTATTGAAGTTGTCATGCTGTAAGTGTGAATAACAAAAAGTACAAACTTTATAGAAAGTTTATACATATAAATAGAGAAACAGCTATTACATAAAATCAAATGAATTTACAAATAACAATAGCATATGATTACACAAACAATCCTATGTACATTATTCTCATTGATCTTCTAGCTTTCAGTGCTTCATCAACTGTTTGGAACTACCCGTGCTACCAGAAACTGCTGCAATTAGTAATGTTAATTAATGGTCTGACTTTTAATGTTATATTCATATAATTATTGCTCATGAAAACATTTATAATCATTGTTTGCTTTAATGTATACAAGAAAATAAATAATGATTATTATCCACTCGAGTAAGTAAGCCTATCTTGAAAAATACGAGCAATAATATTTTTATACAATGTTAAACCTACTTTAAGTGAAACACAAAAACTAAATAATATATATAATCGTGTGGATGCTTCTAATAAACAAAACTGTGTATAAAAGAATAAAATAATCTTTTTTTTATCAACAAGTTCATCACTCTGCATTTGTTTACAAAGCCATTTTCAGATATATATATTTCCTCTAACCTTTTATTCTTTATGCACACTTAAGTAACATCTGCACCACAAATGAACAACAGCTAGCCAGTCAAACACAAGAACTGTACAAACAGTTATTATGCCAGTATTACAGTTCCTGAAGTACCTAAAAATTGAACAAACATTTAAAAAATTATCTTTGCTCTATAGTTTTTACTCACTTTAGCTACAGAAATAAAGAATTATCTAATACAATTTTCAGCAGCCAGATAACATCATCTCCATACCTGTTCTTTTTAACTACAAGAAACAAGTCAGCATATAAAAAGAAAAAATATTTGGCAAAAATTACAGTTTAAACTATCATCTCATACACCATTCTCACTGTAAATAGAAGTCTATACTACAGATATGTGCTATTTGTGAGAGCAAAAATCTACAAAACAGCGACTACATCAACAGCTAGGAGTACTATCAGGTGGTTTTCTTAGCTTGGTGTCAACTCTGAGCATCAGTAGTTGACAGCAGTTGTGTTTGTTCTGTTGTTCTTTCTTCTTCTGGATGATCATTAGTTGGATCCACTTTTCCATCCGAGTCCATTACTTTTAATTCAATATGTTTCAAATTCCCAGTATCTTCATTCGTTTCTTGGGTCTTGAGAGTTTCAGGAATTTTCCAAGCTGCCGGACCAAGTGAACCATTTGGTTTGACTTCATTGGCTAAGAAAGGGGCACTGGTGGTCTCCAGACTAGTCTGAGGTCTTTGCCATTCACTTTTTACCTGAGACATGGATTGATGTTCATGTATGCTGGGAGTAGTCGGAGAGCTAGATTCCTGTGATAAATTCTGGTTGAATGTAGCTGATGGTGAAGTTATAATCTGTTCTGGTAGACCATCAAGGATATTGACAGTGTTCAAGACCTTCTCTAGTTCTCCTTTAAATGGGTCTTCCAAGTTAGTTTCAGAGCGCTGCTTCTGGCGTTCCATAAGAGTAGCCCTGTAAGCAGCTAAGTACACAGCACGGTGAACCTTCATGTACAAAGTGTCGCTGACTGCCACTACCGTGTAGTCTGGAATAAAGCTTGCTTTTGATGAGCTTGGCTCTATTGGAGCATTGGTCAGGCTAGGAGATGAACCAGGAGCTAGTACTTGAGAACCAGACTCTCCTGTGAATGAAAAATGGTCAACATAAAACCAAAGTATTGTAATACATGTCTCATAACCTATATATTAACTGATTTTCATTTTACCCAAAGCTACTTCTCTTTTCTGTCTATCCTGATAATTTGTTTTAATTACTTTGTGTTTTGAAAATCCTTATACAGATTTTCATTTTGTACTCACTTTTAATAAAGGTACTTTTCTAAAGATAGATCAGTTATTTTCTCAAACATTTTTTGCATGCTACACAGTGTTACTTAAGTCTTTAATCAGAAATTTACATGCATTGTTAATTCAATTTCATCAAAGAAATTTCATTATTCTTTCTATCATTTGTTACTAAGCTTACATAAAATGCTTTTCTATTGTTTCTATGCACTGTTACTTAATATTACACAAAGGTCTTTTTTTTTATCAATTCTAATTACTGTTACTTAAGTCCTCAACCAGAAATTTTCTACTGTTCTCATGAGGTTACTCATTATTCTCACAATATCTTACACACCTATCCAGTAATACAATATTTATTTTATTGGTACTCAGCCATTATCAATCACACATTTAATCTTTGTTAACAATAATCTGTAAACATTATGGACAGTCCTATCATTCTTCATGGGCCATAAAGTTTTTAAAATAACAAAGAGCTATATATCATTCACAATGTAATCTTTGCAACATAAGATCAACATAGCTATATTTTTAATGTTTTATTCTCTTTTTTGAAAATCTAATAATTTTTTGTTTTATACACTACATTATTAACCTTAAAAGCATGGGGTGAAAAGAAATTTTTCTTATCAAAATGTTTCATGGTTTGACCCTAGAGAATGACCTTTACGTTGGTAGCAGTTTTGTAAATGATAACCCTAAAACTGTATGCTAATTGTAACTCAATCGTGTCATAATTATAGTGTTTTTAATTTTCCACATCAGTTAAATCCCATTGGTAAGCTTAGATGGGAAAGAATTTAGCCAATCAAACTCAATGGAAACATTTTATGTCACTGCATATTCCTTTAATGTTTACCTCTGATTACTTTATGAATGAAAACAAAAATTTTCAATCCCATATTTAACAGCCTAATTTACCAGTTACTTTAGAAAAAGCCAAAATTTTACAAGGTTCAATAATAACTATAGTTTTTTATTTAGTTTTACTCTATTGTGTAGATCTCAAAACTAACAATGTGAAAATATTATGCTATTTTTTATTAATGTTCAAAAACTCCATTTGACTTATATTGAGTTTTGTAGAAAAATTTCTAAAATCCAGAATGAAGACACAACTGTTTTTTTCTAATTATGTGTGGTTGAGTGTTGTGTTTAAATGTGATTGGTAAATAAGTTATCTAAATTTTTTTTTTTCAGTGAAATTAATAGACAAATAATGATAGAAAAATTTAATGGTAAAATCAGATTCTCAAAATTTTATGAGGTTTATTCTAAGGTTAAGCAGGCATTAGATTACTTTGTCACGCCCCCAGCTAAGTGACACGGACTGACACAGTTTAAATATTTTAAACCTCTACTATTAATAAAAAAGGGACCTGTACTTTACCTGGTGTGATGCCACTCAATAATGCAGTACATCCAAAACATGTAAATGGTCCTGCTTCAAAAACCAAATTTTCCTTGCCTACTTGAACTCTAACTCTACCTTCAAGAATTAGGACAAAATAGTCAGAAGGTTTCCCAGCCTGGTATATGGTCATTGCTGGAGCATTCATGTCATCTTTGCTACGCAGCTTCAAGTTGAAGAAGATGTTCTGGGTCATAAGGCGTCGAAGAACGGTGGTAGAAATGAATTCCTTCTGGAATGGTTCAAGAGCTGTGCAACAATAAAGAAAAAGAACAATTTAATACTGTCACTGTGGTGTATATATTCCCTTATATAGTTTAGCAAGCTGTACAGTAGCAGAACATGAGAAATTATGAGAACATGGGAGATATAGTCCATTTTTAAAAGCTTGACAACTGTGTAATAAGTAGAGATGCACAGGTAGTAAAATTTGGCGAATACCAGGTCCGGATACCTGGTCACTAAACTTCAGCCAGGGCCAAATGTCAACCGAGACCGGGTTCTCCCCCCACCAACAACATACACAGAAATTAGAAACAAAAATAAAATTGATGTGTATGACATTGAATCAAATAATTGCCAACAGAACAATCAAGTTTTACTTTCAACTTTCAATATCTAGTCCCAACTTCTCAAACCCTAACTCATATTGTTCTCAAAACCCCTACCTTCTTCAGAAATCCACTTCTCAACCATGCCTGACGGTCAGTCTTTGTTGCTCAGAACACATTTTTTTTTTAACTAAACCAATTATTGACTTTAACTTTCAGTACCTCATAAGTTGCCACAAAGATTAAGGGTTAGATGCCACTTTCAATTACCCAGATTCAGCTGTTTTTAACTTCGACACTCGGCCTATGCCGAGTATTACCAGGAAGTCCAATACCCGGCTAGGGCTGAATATCTGGTCAGGTTCCCGTGCATCCTTAGTAATAAGCATAAGAGAAATTGGATATTCATTGTGGGAATATATTCCTCTACCAGTAGTTTAACAGTTGTGCACTAAGAGAAAAAACTAAATAATAGGCCTAATAATGTTAATGCAGGGACAAGAGTTTGAAATGATGACTACATACACACACACACACATACATATGTACATACATGTATATATATATATATAACCTGCTCATTAACTAGAAGAATATCCAAAATTAAATGTTTTTTCTAGTGCAAAATTACTTTAAGCACTCTTATACTCTTAAAAGAACCCTTGTGGTAAAATTTTATATTTTTCAGTAAAACAACTTCAATAATAAAATATTTACTACAATTACAAACCATTTATGCATTAGGCTTAGAGATAACAATTTTACAGTAACAAAAGTAGTCAAATTGTATTTATTCATATGTCCATGCAATTTGTTTGCACATAAGATAATTATTTAAACATTTCTTAAATCTTAATCAGTTGTATACACTTATATACTAAGTGGCAATGTGTGATTTTAATATTATTAAATGTTCCAACAAACATAAGATAAATTTATCCTCATCACCCAACCAATATATTTTGCACATTCTATTTTCTTTTTTTCTGATCCTTTTCTTCTAATTTCATAGATCTTGTTAAGTTATAATAAGATATTTTTGATGAGTGTCTAAATCTTACTTTCTAACACATTCTTCCAATATTAAACACTTTTTCAAAGTTTTGATTCAAACTTAACACCAGTTGTTCCTTACATTTCCCCTTACATTATTGTAATGAGAAATGAGAATGGATCTATAGACTTATAGAATAAAATGTGGTCAGAAGACATTTCGTGGATTTATGAATATGACTGAAAAATTATGCAAAAGTAGCCACAGCTATTATTTTCATTGTTAGCAGCCTATATTATTACTCAAGTTTAATTATTAATTAGTTATTATATAGATAATAAAAAATTAGTTTTATTTAAAGTTTAGGTTACTAATCTGCTGCCTTCTTTCGAGAAATCCTGATGAGGACAATTTCTGTATTGGTAGTGACTAATATTTGATCAAGTGTCTTTCTGATAGAGCACGTACATGTTATCCATTCAACTGGGGTTTCCCAGCTTTAGAATTTGAATCAACTTAAAGACAAGTATGCTTGCTACATTAAAGTTACAATTATTTATATGCCTTATTTAAAAAAAATTATTATTGAATTGGTTAACACTGACTTAGCTCAATTTTAAGGAGTTTCACTAGCAAATGATTTTTAAAAATCATTTCCATTGGCATTTTCATATGGAAATTTATCACCTATACACGGAGGGCCTTACTCCTTTGCAGAAGAGTAAACAGCTGTATAATAAGAAAAATAAATTTTAATAATGTTCGTGCAGGAATGTATTCCTCTCTGAATTTTAAAAGTTGTCAAATAAGGAAAAGACAATATAATAATGATCATGTGTGTGTGTGTGTGTGTGTGTGTGTGCGCGCACACACACACACACACACACATATATATTGTAGCTGTGCAATAAAAAAAAAATTAAGTAATGAACATTAATTTAAGATCACATTTCTTTCTGATGGGTTTAACAGATCTGTTTGTTTTTGGATACTTTTGCAAAGCTACTAAACAGCTATCTGCATTAGCTATCTATTGTTTTGAACTGTTAGACTAGAGAGAAGGTGGCTAGTAAACAGCACCCACCACCAATTCTTGGGATACTCTTTGTCCGACAGAATATTGGAATTTGACTATGATTCTTGTAGCACACCCATAGCCCAAAAGTGTAGGCAATGGAACCACAGTTCTAGTGTTTTAACACTAACCACTGGACCCATTCACACTTTGCCAATTGAGGTGTCACATAAACAAACCTGAATAATGTTACCATGCCAACAAGGAATTGCATTCCTTTCTGGGGGTTTAATGGCTGTGCAAGAAGAAGAAAAAACATGAAATACAATTAACACATGAACACATTCTTTTCTGATTGACTTAAGAACTATGCAAAAAAATAAAAAGTAACAGTACGATGGAAGAAAGTACTCTGTCATAATTAAAAGGAAACTTGATAAATCAGATAACCAGAGTAAAATTTAATGAAAGTATGTTTCACCAGGTTAACCTGGCATCATCAGGTACATTAACTACAATGAATGAATTGAAACTACAAATATATATAATACAGTGCAAGGGTACACTGAACTTTGATTGGGTAAATTTAACAGTAAGGTATGATATTTCCGGAGGGTATTTATTGATAGGGCTCGACTTCTTGAGAGTCAATGTCCGTAAAATCAACAAAATAGGAGAATATAAGTACTCTTTCAAAAATGTGAAATACTATAACAACAAAATATATAAATTAAATACTGTAACTTGAAAATTGTAAATAGAGGTACAGTGATTCACAGAAAATAATTTTCCATCTGATCCTTCCATATCCTTTCCACATATTTCTCGTAATAATCCTATTGTTAAACTGTTAAAAGAGTTTTCAGCTAAAACTCAAACAATAATAACCAGATATCACAAAATTAGACCAAACTTGAAACCTCCTGAGATCAGTGCCATGAAAGCCCTAAAGAAGGATAGGAACAATATTTTGTTAAAGTTCAAAACAGGTAATGCAGTGGTAGTCATGGATTGTACTGACTACGTCACAAAAATGAATGAAATTTTGCATGACAAGATTCATTTCAAATTCCTGAACGAAAACGTAACACCTACCCTCAAAAAGAAACTATGCTCATTTTTATTACAACTAAAAAAGTCCAAGTCTCTTACTGATCCGCTATACAATTTTCTCAGACCATTTGACTCGTGTACCCCACAAATCTACGGCCTTCCTTAGGTTCATAAACCTAATTATCCTCTAAGACCTATCGTATCAGCCTTTGGGGCATTTAATTTCAACTTACAAACATCTAGCGTGGGTATTTTCTCCTTATGTCAGCAGTGCCTCGTCTTTTATAAAAAAAAAAAACTCCGAAGAATTTGTCAACAAACTTAAACATTTTGATACACTTTCCGTTCTTATCAGTTTTGATGTAAAAAACTTATTTACACAAGTACCTGTTTTTGAAGCCATCAATCATGCTCTTGAATGTTTCAATAACGACTCCTCTTCAAGATCTTTACTCTCTTCTGAAATTTTGAAAAATTCTCTATATTTCACAACTTCCTGTAACAACTTTCAATTTGAAGGCTTCAATTACGATCAAATAAAAGGGTTAGGCATGGGAAATCCTATTGGCCTCGTTCTTGCAAACATTTTTATGATTAGAATTGAACACCAAACTATTTCAACTTTCCTTCATCCACCTATTTTCTGGGTAAGATATGTGGATGATATTTTTGCTGGACTCCAGGATTCATCATCCATTTAAAAGTATTTACAACACCTGAACTTAATTCAGTTTGATATCCAATTTATTATGGAATATGAAGAAAATCATATACTTCCATTATTGAATGTTCTTGTCAAAAGACAGGACAAAACTTACCACACTTCCACTTATCACAAAATCACTCATACTGGCTTCCACTTATCCTGGAACTCTTACCATGATCCTTCACAAAAATTAGGCATAATAAAAACTCTCTATCATTCAGTGAACATTTGATGTTGGATCTCAAAGTGCTGAAAAATGAATTAACAGTCCAGAACGATTTCCCGCTACAGTCCGTAAACAAGGTCATCTCAGTGCTAGAAAAGAAAACATCTGAAGCTCACGACAAGTCAGTTATAGAGGAACATCCCATTTATTGCATAATTTCCATTATCCCACAGGTTTCACATTCCATCAGAATGTATTGGAAAAACATTTTTTTAAAAAATATGATATTAATTTAACGATAGAATTTGTGTTTCTTCCCGGCAGAAAATTAGGTCAAATTTTATCCAAAAAAATACAAAGATACTGATACATCCTGTTCCATATATCAAATATATGTGAAAATTGTGATGAAACTTACATTGGAGAAACCTACAGGCAAGTACCCACCCGAGTTAAAGAGCATTATATAACCACCTTCTCATATCCATGAACATATGTTTAAACATGGTCATTCATTTCATCTTGATAATGTTAAAATTCTTAGCAGAGAAAAAAATATAAATTGTTGTAAAATTAAGGAAGCCTTGCTTATAAAACAGTTTATGCCTAAAATAAATAAGTATTCTGGCACAAATTGTATGTATTCTAACTTTAACTTAACTATGTTGATGTTCAAAAAGTTTTTTATATTATTTTCTGTGAATCACTTTACCTCTATTTACAATTTTCAAGTTACAGTATTTAATTTATAAATTTTGTTGTTATAATATTTTACATTTTTGAAAGAGTACTTATATTCTCCTATTTTATTGATTACGGACATTGACCCTCAAGAAGTCAAGCCCTATCAATACACACCCTCTGGAAATATCATACCTTACGGTTAAATCAAAGTTCAGTGTACCCTTGCACTGTATCATATATATTTGAAGTTTCAATTCATTCATTGTAGTTAACGTATCTGATGATGCCAGGTTAACCTGGTGAAACGTACTTTCATTAAATTTTACTCTGGTTATCCGATTGTTCAAGTTTCCTTTTAAAAGGTAATAGTGTCAGCATCAAGATTATTTCCTTCCTGAATAGCATAAACAAAATTAAGTGCTGATAAGTTCATTTTCTCAGCAGTAATGAACAACAGCAAAACAAATAAGAGCATTCAAAGTTGTTGTTTTTTTTTACAGAAGTCATAGCTGCAAAAACATGAAAATGAAATATTCACATTTTTATATAAAATTATAATGAGAAAAAATTATTTTGGTTGAAATCTGAACCTAAATTTCAATAAGAAATCTGCACTAGACATCACATGCAATTCTTCAAAAGTTTTGAAACATTTAATTTTTCTATAATAACTAAACCTAATTATTCAGTAAATATGCCACCAATAACCAAAGGCTAGTAAAAACTCCTCTATGACATCATAAAAAGTACTCAGTAAAATACTTGTAGAGTATAAATTGTATATACAATTAAAAGGAATACAATATTAGAATAATTGCACAATAAAAATAATTTTTAAAGGAAGGGACCAGGCCCTTCTAAAGATGGTGGCATAAGAACTCTAAAACACGTAGTCTTTTTAAGCCTGGTCCCAATTTTCAATAAATTATTCATTGTGCACATATTTTAACATTGTATTCCTTTTAATTGTATATACACAGATGCTCAAGTGCCATTTTAATTTACTTATTGAGTATAAATTGGCCTGCCATTGTAAACACAAAGGCTTTGTAAGTATAGTCTTATTACTAAATATCAATAACAATCAAAGACTGGTTAGGTAATATTTTATATTTATGATGTACCAAAACTGTAGGATTTTTGAGCTTTCTTTTAAGCTATAACCAAGTCTCCTGTAAAAACTAATGATGATAAAAATTGTAGCACTAACATTTGAAGTTGAAAACAAACAATCTTAACAGTCTGTGTCCTATTACTTTTTTCTGTAAAATGATTGCTCAATAATTGCATGTACAGTAAACAACTGTATGTACCAAAATATTACTATATTTCCAAGTAAGGAGTGTGTGGTTTCATTAAAAAACAAAAACTCAAGGTATCTCTCGACCTTTAACTTAAAATATTTTGTCCTTGTCAAATTATGATAATAAACTTGTTCCTTATCTTAGCTTGTTAAACTAACCTTGAATAAATCTGATTTGATATAAAACGGTGGCTGCTAACATTAATGACGGCACTAGTCATAAGGGGATATCACAACATTTCTACTTACTTAAAAACTTCACAATCTGAAGTAGATAAGATATGCAGCAGTTATTTTAATAACACTTGACATACTTCTGTATCCTTTATATGATAACAAAACAAGTGTCATCCATCTCCGAAACAATAACATGCTTTGATAATAGAAGTAATAGTACACTAACAAGTCTACATGTAATTCACAAATAGTTCATTTTTTAGTGCGATAGATCTCCAGTTTTTACATACAGTGCTGTGCATAAATTGGAGACCACTGTTAAATCTTCTCTGCCACTTTAAAAGTTGAGGTCTTACGTCACCAGTAAATCTCTGTCAGGTTTTGCCATATATTTTATAATTTATAGTCAGAAGTAGTGGATACTGCAATGGGCAAAATAAAATATCAAAAGATATATTAATGAATATCAATTAAGTTGAAAACTGGCTGGATATATATAAAATGAAATTTTCTTAGGAGCAAAAATAAAATTTTTCTATAATAATTAAACCTAACCTATTCAGTAAGTATGTCACCAATAACCAAAGGTTAGTAAAAACTCTTCTATGACATCATTAAAAATACCCGGTAAAATACTTGTAGAGTATAGTTTGCATATGTGGAAACTACGTACTATTTGGTTAAGTATTTCTATTGTGAGATTGAAAAAAGTCAAAAAACATAAATAACACACCTGTGATCAGGAAAGAAGTTAATAAATTGTATCTGCATGCTGAGCTATTAATTATTGACAAATGATAAGATTTACTAGTTACAAGTACAACAACTTACAGGTTGACATGTCTTAATAAGTTAATACTGTGAAGAATTACAAGAAGATCTGGCTGATTAAATGTACAGCTACTAACAAGTCAACAGATATTTGTCGACTGTTACTGCCAACTAAAAAGTTTGACAGGTTACATGTACAGTTCCTTACAGATTGACAAGTATCAATATACTTTTAATGCCAACTAAGGAGATATGTTTGGTTATGAGTACAACTACTTACAGGTTGACAGATATTGAAATGTTGCTAAAGCCAGTTGAGGATATATGATGTTTTTTCCCTGTTGGCCTTCTCCTATCTTAGCAAAGTCTGAGAAATATGTTTGGTTATGAGTACAACTACTTACAGGTTGACAGATATTGAAATGTTGCTAAAGCCAGTTGAGGATATATGATGTTTTTCCCTGTTGGCCTTCTCCTATCTTAGCAAAGTCTGAGAAATCCTGTTTCACCTGAGCATCTTTACGAAGTTGTTTCCGTCTATTATCACCTAAGGTAAAAAGTTGGGGACATTTATTATAAAAAAAAAGAGGCCTGATGAAGCCATTCTGGGGAACTTTGATTTGATGAAATATATTATTTCTGGAGTAAAATGGTCATTTTTATCAATTTTTATATAATAATCCAGTAACGAGGCCTAAAATACTCTACGCAGAACTCCAAGATCTAAAGAAAAAATATTTAATCTATTTTAACACATCATATAAGAAGTTTTGTTTTAAGACATAAAGCAGTTTAATAAATCAAAAGATAACTTTCAGATATTACTTTGATTCGGTGTTTATGAATGTTTATGGCTTTATTTAAAATTATGTAGTGAATGTAGTGAGTTAACTAATTCAGTAACTGTAGCAACACATTACAGGTTAAAGCTGTAACAATAGTCGGTAACTTTAATTATTATGATATTTCACAAGGATTTAAATATGTAAATCCAGAATGAGAAAATATACAAAATATGATTAAAACATAAAAAAACACACAAAGAAGAAAAAGGAGGATGATGTATATTATTTGTGTTCATTACAATATTATTGTAAAAATATAGAACAAATCTATTTTTTAATATATATTTAACTATAAGGTGTTTGGTAATGTGAATCGAAAAATTTATTGAACTAAAAAACAAGCACTTTTCACATTGTATATGACATCAGTTTTCTTTTTTAACACCATCGTTTACTCCTAAAACCTATATTTTGTTATTACTTACAATATACGTACATGCACCTGAAGACAATACAACAGTTGCTGATTTCTTTCTTATTAAAGTAAGCAAAATGAAGCATTAAAAAAGTAATAAATGTTAAAAGACTAGTAGCATACCCTATTTTGGATTTACTAAATTAAAGAAAAAAACAACAACACAATTTATATTACAGGACTTAGAAAATAATGTGAGTAATCTTACACACAGTGTCTGTTTCATCGACAATTTCTGACTGGATAATTTCTTCAATGACATCCTCAAGAGTAACCACACCAACAATTTCATAGAAGGGATCTCCTTCACCTTCAGTGTTGATATAACGAACAAATGCCATATGTGAGCGACCTGAAATTATGGAAAAATGAAAAATAATTATAAAAAACAAACAAACAAATACACATTTCCTATGTATGCAACTGGTAATACTGTAACTCATTTATTAGCTTTGGAATAATAATAACAATAATAAAATATATATGTTTATTTAGGAATTGGCTACACATATCTATAAGAGACATTTAAGGGAGCAAATAACATAGAATTAATACACAAGTACTTTTCTGGTTTAATGGTAACATTCAATATGTGTGTATGTATGTGCGTGTGTGTTTGCAAAGACATGGCATATAAAATATTACAATGAAAATTTAATGTAGATGCACATGTAAATTTTATGTACATTCAAATTGATCTATTTTACATAACTCAATACATGTACAAGATGATCAAATATCCAAGTAAACTTAACTACTGCAGGAGTCTGGATTATGTCCATTGGATGTACGTACATATACAACATTGTTCAAATGGATGTCTGTTTAGTGGAAGTTCAGACATAATAGCAAACTTTTTTGGAATGAATCTAAGTTTCAAATGGACAGCAACTGCCTGTTGTAAAAACCTACAAATGTAGAGGATGACGTTTTGAATGTTTTCTGCCTTTCATCTTCAGGCGGAAGACTTTCGAAACATCATCCTTCTACATTTGTAGGTTTCTACAACAGGCAGTTCCTATACATTTGAAACTTAGATTCATTATGAATACTCTGCCTAAACAACCTATCAAAGATTCTTTTGGAATGCCATTTAATTCTTACTATAACATCTGATGGATATAAAAGTCAACTTTATTTCAAGATTTTAAGCACACCATTGAACAGATATCCATGTATTAAAACCTACTTTTATGCATACAGTTGCAATTATCTTTTACTCACCAGAAACAATGTATATTCATATACTGTATGAATTTGATGAGTAAGTAATATTAGTATCGCTAATTTATCCTTCCAGTGGACAAACTATTTGAAAGTCTAATTTTCTTCCTCAATACTGGAATTGTGTGCATTTTTATTTTTAAAAAAATGAGAGGCTCAGTCTGTACTTCAATATAGCATCCTTATGTTACTCTCATCATGGTTAGTAAAAGATTAACATCATATCAGTGCTAGAGATTTACTTTATTTTAACAGTTTGTTATCACCAGGCCTAAGCAAAAATTGAGTATATGATATAATTTAAAATAAGTTTTCTTTGGGAATTTTTTACATATTTTCTTTTTCATTAAAACACTTCATGATGGAAGAGCACCATTTCAGAGAAATGAGAAAAGAAATGTCTTACTATTCAATTGATATTTTCTTTCATATATGATCTGTGCTAAAAAGTAAAAACAGAGTCTGTCAGAAGTAACTTACTCTATTTCTAAGGCGTATTTATTTTGGAGTGATGGATAATATTCAAGGTATATATATCTACGCAATATTGTTTTTTGACATTTATCTGGATTATGGTTACTGGGTTCATAGATATGAAAGTAGATTAATTTTTAGTGTATGTGTGTGTGTAGATAAAAATTTATTGTAGGTAAGTGCTAAATATGAGATTTTATGAAAGCTATCTGCATTCTGTACATTGTAGGGAATCAAGCCCTGAATTTTAGCATTGTAGGTCCATAAACATACTGCTGACCCACCAGGGAAACTTTATATTAAGAACAAAAAAATAAGACAAAAAAAAAAAGTTAAAATGTTTAAAAGAAATTAACATGTTGGAATGGCTGAGTACATAAAATCATTAATGTTTTAGCACAGTAAAAATACAAAAACTGTGTTGTGCTTTATACTACAAATAACAAATATTAAGACATTTAAAACATAAATGAATTTGTTGGAGAAACCTAGTAAACAATATAAATTTTCTGTTTTAGAATGTCCCATGTCAGAATAAAACAAATATGTTGTACTTCCAATGAAAAGTGTTTATGATATTTATGAGGAATAAATAAATATGTTAGACTAAGTACACAACAGCTCCAATATACCTGTATTTTTATGGTTGCTTATGATATGGCAGGATAATTCTATATGTAGCTAATGATTTAAGACACATAATATCAGTGGTTGTAGTACAGAAAGGAGGGGTTTGTTAGTCTACAGTGATATGCAATTATTGATAAAATACACAAACATAAAACATTATAAAAATAACTTCAACCAGAAAAAATACTTTTCTGTGAATGTTAAGAGACTTTTTAATGTGTACTGACTTAAATTACAATATTAAACAGATGTTTTGTAAGATAATAAAATTAATAACTAAGAATCCAAACATATTAAAAGTACAAATAAAGAAGAAATTAAGCTTCCAAAATTAAGCAGGTGTATTGTGTGAAGAAGTTAAGAGTTCAAATTTAACCACTTGTATTATATGATCAATGCTCATCTCAAATACATCTCTGGATAAGGAAATTTCAAATTAAAAGTTTAAAATATGCTTAGTGCCATCACTATTTGTTAAGATTAAAAATGCCATCCATAATTAAACCATACTTAGAATTGAGTTAGTTATATGAAAATTACATGTTATTTCACAAGCTCACACATTTAATTAATATGAACTTCCAATCAGAGGAATCTATGTATCAAAAATAAAAGCCAACCTTATTATGAGTATAACTAATTACATATACTGTTCTTACAATTTTACTTAAAGATTAGAATGTATTGTTTCTACAGCTTGGTGCCCTCTCTGTTAAAAGATATTTCTGACTGAAAATCCAATAATATCTGACACGGTTCAGTTAGTTTTGAAGTTTTAGGTTAACGATGCTAAGAATGATAAATAATCTCTATAATAAAGGTAGAAACATAAAAATAACAAAACTGGATATACTGAAACACTAACCAACACTGTTAATGAAAGTAACATTAAAGGAAGAATACAGTATACCTTACTTAAGAAAAACACATACACATGTAAGAAACTAAATTTATTTTCATACTTACCCACGCATGACCAAGAAAATGTTACAACATCACTCTCTTCATGCTATATATATATATATATATATATATA